TATCATATGATTGACGAATGCAGTGGTTCCCTATCGGTGACCCAACATCCCGGCTCCGTTGAAATGCATTTCAAACTGGCAAAACTGCTAGCTTGTGGATGGGGCGCCGAATGATTCCCTTCGATGTGCGAACATCAACCACACGAATTTTCGAATCCTTTCCTGGTATGCAATTTACAATTCTTCCCATAAGCCATTTCTGCGGTGGTAAGTTGTCTTCATGTATGATGACCATTGTGTTGTTTTCGATGTTTGGCCGATCTGCAAACCATTTTGAGCGTACTTGTAGCTCGTTGATGTATTCATGTGACCATTGCTTCCAAAAGTTTTGTTTGATTGTAGCTATTTGTGCCCACTGTTGCGCATGGCTTATGTTGGATGACACGTTTCGCTCCGGAAGTGCTTTTAGTGCGTCGCCAATGATGAAGTGACCTGGAGTCAATGCTTCGTAGTCGTTCGGATCGGAAGACAATGGTGTTATTGGCCGCGAGTTCATTACCGCTTCGATTTCTACCAAGGCTGTTGTGAGTTCCTCGTAAGTAAGCCGTGAGTTTGCCATGCTGCGATTAAGATGGCCCTTTGCTGATTTCACGGCCGCTTCCCAGATCCCGCCAAAATGAGGTGCTCTAGGGGGAATGAAATTAAAATTCACAAATTCGTTAGCACAATACGAAATAATTGAGTCTTGATTTTCTTTTTCGAATAAAAATGATTTTAGTTTCGCAAGTTTATTACAAGCGCCAACAAAATTTGTCGCATTGTCGCAAAATATATCAGATGGCAAGCCTCTCCTTCCGATCATCCGCTTCAAAGATGCCACAAACGCTTCTGTAGAAAGATTCGAAACGATTTCTATATGCACTGCCTTGGTAGCTAAACAAACGAAAATTGCGATGTAGGCCTTGTAGGGTATCTTGCCTCTAATTCGCAGGTAAACGTCAACAGGTCCACAAAAAATCAATGCCGCAGCGGGCGAACGGGCGTGACGGAGTCAATCGCTCAACTGGTAGATGTCCCATGACTTGCTCCATCAGTTTTGGCTTGTAGCGTACACAATGTATGCAGGATCTGACCACTCGCCTTGCCACTTCACGCGCGTTGATAATCCAGAATTTGAGCCTTATCAAAGCTACGAGGGCCTTTGGTCCAGCATGATAATGACTGTGGTGAAGATGTCGCACATAGTTGATGATGAATTCGCATTTGCTTGGCAATAGTAGTGGGTGTTTCCTCTCTTCTGGTATGTCCGCCTGCTTTAAACGCCCACCAACCCTCAGTAATTGAAATCCTCTGACCGACTCAAGAAAAGGGTTCAAATAACGCAACTGTCCATTTGTGGTAAGATTTTTCTGCAAAAGATGAATATCATTAGCGAAATGTTCTTGTTGTATATTCCAAATTATGCAAAGCAGGGCATGATGCAATTCTTGTGAGGAAAGAGGGCCTGACTCATTGGACTTAACAACAGGTCGTAGATTATTAGCGAATCGAAACATCCAGCCGATTAATCGAATGCTGCTAGTGTACGAGCTCTTTTTATTGACGACTTCAAGAATGTGGTTGGTTTTTATAGTTGTGGTGAATGCTGACTTTCGTCTCTCGGCTTCTACGGTTTCCATATCAACGCCTTTGTTTTCGTTTTTAGGCCAAACCTCCATGGGTTTGTATAAAAATGTAGGTCCAGTGTACCAAATTGAGCTGGCGAGTTCTGCCACCGTACATCCTCTGGAAACTATGTCTGCAGGATTACTGTGTGTTGGCACATACCTCCAATGGGCTCCCGTAGTTAAGTCCTGTATTTCCGAAACCCGATTTCCAACGAACGCCGAAAGCGTTATTGAGTGCATCTTCAGCCAATGTAAGACCACTTGTGAATCTGTCCAGAGAAAAACGTTCAAGGATTTATTGTAAAAAATTGATTTGATTTTTGAAAAAAGACGAGCTAAAAGGAGAGCGCCGCAAAGTTCTAGCTTTGGCAACGACTGTTTTTTGATGGGGGCGACTCTGGATTTTGCGGTGAGACAACGAACGACAATACTTCCGGACTTGGTAACTGTTCTTGTATAGATGACGCATCCATATGCTCGAATGGACGCATCACAGAAGCCATGCAGCTGAAGGTCCAGGGAGTCGGTTGAAAGACAATACCTTTGCACCTTGAGTGATGATAGGTCCGATACGCTGTTAAGAAAGCTTGTCCAAGCGGAATGAATGTTGTGAGGCACGGATTCGTCCCAATCCAACCTAAGCAGCCATAACTCCTGCAATAAAATTTTTGACGTAATGGTAACAGGCGCCAACAAACCAAGAGGGTCGAATAACGATGATGCAATTGAAAGGATTGAGCGCTTTGTTATGCGATTTTTTTGTATTTTCCTTGGTTCAAACGAAAACAAAAAGGTATCATTTGCTTGATCCCATCGCAGACCTAGAGCACTCGTGACGGAGTCGTCCAAGTTGAGATTTTTTATACACTTATTTTGCCTCAGTCGAAAATGGTTAGAATGCCACTTTGAAAGCTCGAATCCACCTAAAGCTAACAACTGTGTTACCTCTTTCTTTATCCGTAGAAGTTCGTCCCAATTATCTGCGCCACACAACAAATCATCGACGTAAAATGACGATTTAACGATGTTAGATCCAAGTGTAAACTGATCCTGATATTGCTCAGCCAAGTAAATTAAACTTTGTATGGCCAGATATGGTGCCGAAGCCATTCCATAGGTTACCGTTTGAAGTTGATAGGTGCGAATTTTTTCAGTCGGGGAACTCCTCCACAAAATATATTGGAAACGTTTGTCACCGTCATGCACAAGTACTTGTCTGTACATCTTGACTATGTCGGCAGTCAATGCGAATCTGTATAAGCGGAAACGAAGAAGGAGAAGAATTAACTCACTCTGAATTGTAGGGCCAACCATTTGGATTTCGTTGAGAGATATTTGTGTTGTAGTCCGGCAAGAAGCATCAAAAACGACACGAAGTTTTGTTGTTGTGCTGGTGGGCTTTAGCACACAGTGGTGTGGGATGTAATAATGCGGTTCACCCAAATTCGGATTCTCCATGATGCTCATGTGTCCCAAACGCTCGTATTCATCCATGAAATCCACGTACTGTTTTCTCAAGTGTGGTAATTTTGCTAAACGACGCTCTTGTGCGTTGAATCGTCTCAGTGCGGTGGTGTACGAGTCGCCTAAGCAGGAGGGATCATCCTTGAATGGCAATTTCACTACTATTCTTCCAGCTGGATTCCTTGAAACAGTGGTTCTGTACATCTGCTCGCAAGTTGTTTGTTCGCGAGTCCAAGGCTCGGCATTGACAGCTACTTCCTCAATTCTCCATAGCTTCTCCAGCTTGGCATCCAACGAGTCATTGGCTGTAAATAAACATGAACGTTGAGACAAGTTGTTGCTTGATTGGTATCGACCCGATACAACCCATCCTAATAAAGTTTTTTGCAATATTGGTAAATTTGTTCCAAGTTTGATCTGGCCAACTGCCAGCAGACTAAAGAATGTTTCCGTACCTAACAACAAATCGATTTTTCTGGGTACGTAAAATTCATCATCAGCAAGGGTAATATTATTTGGAATATTCCAAGAAGAAATATCGATTTCAGGGTCTGGCTGATAGGCAATGTGCCGCGTAATGCAGAACGTCAGCGGAAGTTCGAATTCGCATTGCTGCGATTTTATATTAGTGGAAGTTTTGTATCTAATGTTTGTTGACGACTTACCGATGCCTTGGATTTCAATGTTTTGTTTACCTTTCGGTAACGACAGTCTTTGTGCGAATTCCTCAGTAATAAAATTCACCTGAGAACAGGAATCTAGCAGGGCTTTGCCTAGTCTGTAATCACCTGACGAATCACGAACTAAAATCATGGCAGTTGCTAGAATAACATTGTCAGATGACGAATTGTGCATGTGTGTGTGCACTGCGGCTTCGCGTGATGGTGGAGGATTTGTTGTCTGTTGGGCTGATGTGGACCCGCGGTGGAGTAAGCTGTGGTGCTGCTTTGAGCAAACCTTACATCTGTGGGTTGATGGGCATTGAGCCATTTGATGTCCTTTAGACAGGCAATTGATGCAAAGTCCCATTTTCTTCGCTTGGTCGAATCGCTGGATGATGTTGTAAGACTTAAAACGATCGCAATTAGAAATTTTATGGTTTGTGCTTGAGCAAACAGAGCACGGCGTATTGGAGCAGGTAAATGAATATCCCTTTGGCTGATTCCTTACCTTACTTAATGCAGCTTTGCTGTTACCTGGAATAACTGCTGATCCTGTGTGGCTAGCTTCCATCGACTCCAAATATTGGCAATGCCTTTCCAGCACCTTCACACAGTCGCCCCACGTCGGCAGCGTCTTAAAATCCAAAGATTCTTTCCACTTTTTATTGGTTTGTTCATCCGATTTCTGAAGCACCAAATAAATGAGCATGGCTTGGGAAATTTGCATTTCATTACCCAACGAGAGAAGTGAACCGTAAATGGCAGAAGTCCTGTCGATAAGACTTCTCAATTGTAGTGCGTTTGGTTTCGAAACCGCTGGTAACTCGAATAAAGAAGAGATATTTTCCAAAAAAATTAAAGTTTTATTGTCGTACCTTTCTTTCAGCCGTTCCAATGCTTTAGGGTAATTTTCATTGGTCACCTGGAATGCATCGACGGTTTCTAAAGCTTGACCTTGAAGCGAGTTTCGCAAATGATTAAATTTCTCGATGTTTGAAAGACTAAATTCTTTATCAATTATCTGTTTAAAGGATGTAATAAAATTCTGGTACTCAGAATACTTGCCGCTAAACGTTGGGAGTTTGAGCTTTGGTAATTTAGTGCTGTGCTGCACAATGCAGCTTGTTTCCGGAAGCGAAATATTATGATCCTCCACTAGCTGTGCTTGAATCGTTAATTTTGTAGTGACGTACAATTCCTCAAGGTCCGCGCGTCCTCCATCGTCGGGATCCAATTTTTCTATATCCGTCTGAATGGACAGTACCTGTTTAAAGTAAGATTCAAAAATGCCCAAACGACATTTATATTCGGCAGCTGAGAGAGTTTTACCTCCTGGACGTAAACTAGCATCCACAATGTTCTTGATGCGCGTGATGTTTTTCTTAGTATTTGCGCGCTGTTGCTTTAATTCGTCCAAAGACATTGTTAAAGGCAGTAAAATTTCAGGCGGCAAAAATTAAAACGCAAATGGCAATTTGTGGCTGTTATTGAGGGATTACTTACGTGTAGTCGCGAAAGGGAAATGTTTTGCGACAGTGGCAATGGCAAGCTAGAAAAAAGGGTGGTCAAACCCAAGGTGCATACATACATACGTGTGTGGCGATATGTGCGCCTTTTGGTGCAGTGCAACCAACGAATCAAAGTAATGATAGCGAGGGTGATGATGACTGGAAGGCGGCAGTGTTCGAGAGCGATGTGTGTGCTGAGCTGGAGCGACGGCCGTAAGCGATGGTAAGCGAGCGAAGAGGTAGCAGAAACGACGACTATTCAAATGCGGCTGACGAAATGAATCTATCAGTGTCAATGATAGTTCTTGTATCCAGCGGCCAAGTAGCTTGGAGATAATGACGTTTCCGTGAGTGAGATTGATGGTGGCTAGCAGCACGTCCAACGATGGCGATGAGGGGTCTAACGCTGACCACCAGATGTAAATGATACGAAGCGTGTACTTACAAGTTATATAATATGTAGTGCCAGCCCCACGTTGGGCGCCAAAAAATGTAGGATTACAAAGCCTTTTTTGTAACCGCGCAAAACTCAAAGTAGCGAACAATCGAACGACACAGGGAACGGGCCAAGCAACGATGGGCAGATGTAAACGCCTTGGTGGTCAGCTGTTAGACTAACTTTATTAGACAAATTCTTCTCCTTAAGTAATTTCCAACTAATACATAACTACCGATAGATATCTCAATACATTCGTAACTTATAATATTTGCTAATACATAATTTATGTACATATGTACTTTAGTACTTCATAGAGGTGGATGATCTTAACACTACTCGTAATATAGTTACATATATGTACATACATCAGAGCCAAACACAAAAGGAATAGAAAAAA